ATGACTTTCTGGAACGGTTCTTTCGGACGTTGTCGCAAAGTTCCCAACAATCCGTCATTTCCGGGCGTAATCGCGTATGCTGTTGCGATCGCGCTTTGATCGAGTGTCGTTGTGCCGATCCATCTTTAGTTTAATGGACTGGGTCAGGGCGCGTGCCGTTCAGCGCTGCATTTCTTCAGAGGATGGCGATGAACCGGAAGGGGACAATCGCGGTGTCCGATGGCAACCTATTATAGAAGCTTATCCGGGTTTCTGGATCAAATAGTAGTACTATATTTACCAGAAAGAAACTGCTTTGTGTTTGAGAAGGCCGTTGACGGTTCCCTCTACCTGAACACTTTAACTCTAAGTTGTCCCACCTCTGTCCAGCTCCCAAGGAGTCCACGTAGTGGAGTTCTGACAGCTTCCATAAGGTTGTTTAATTTCCGAACAAAACTCTTAATTCCTATTCACGCCCCTCCCCCAATTTTCGCTGTTAATCTCGTCCAGTATAGTGTCTACTACACTAGCAATCATAGTGCGAGCTGCCTTCCTTTGAATATCCCTTAGCCAAGCGGATTACCCTGATTATCAAGTACTTTAGAAGCGATAGCATGGCGCCCTTCAACACAGATTAGACCAGGGTCAAGCGAGGCGTCGAGGAAAATTCGGAAATACGACCCCCCCCCCCCTCTGCCGAAGGCCGAAGTCCATGAAACAACCCTCTTTAAAAGCCGAACTATGAAAAAGTTGTTTAATTCTCCACCAAAACTGCTCATAAAAAAGCCCTGCTACCCCATCGTCCACAAAAAAACTCGTTTAAAAAGTATAAAAGTGAAAAAGTCAAAGAATGATCATTAATGACGAGTCCTGTCAAACGAGCAAACGAGAAACGGAGCAAAAAACGTCAAACTAGTCACTAGAAATGGCGTACTATGACAACACCTCTTCTTTGTTTATTTCCTCCACAAGACTTACCAAATTCTAGTACTACACAGATTATGGTTCTCAATTTACACGTCCCCCTTTCGCTCAAAGGAAGCCTTGTAAAAGCCTTCGCCAGCTGTGTGTTGACTGGACTTTGGCGTTGACCGTGGAGCAGCTTATTTACTATTGAAATTTGAACAAATATTCAAATGATTATAACTTTCTTCAAAGTTAACGAATTTTCAATCTGAAAGCTGATTTGGGAGTTTTGTGAAGAGCTTTTTCTAATCAGTACTGAAATTACAGGAAGTTATAAGAAATAACAAATTTAGATCAAATAACGAGGAAAATTCGAGACGAGCACGAGTTTTTACACTTTCCGGAGCAATAACTTGCTTCATTTCCGTCAAATTCAAAAAGTTGATACGTCATACAAAACTAGAAGATTTTCTCTATCAAACGGTCGCTAAAGCAGCTTCATACGTCCAGTACTCAAAAAATGGCCACGTTGAGGATTTTTGCAAAATTAACGAGGAAAATTCGTGATGAGTGCGAGTTTTTACGCTTTCCAAAGCCATAACTCCGTTCAAACTCATGCAATCTGGAAAGTTAATACGTCATCATAAACTAGAAGATTTTGGCTTCTTCTCTCGAGCTTACTAACACGCTTAATTTCCGTTCAACATTTAAAAAAAAATGGCCACGTTGAGGATTTTGCCCGAGTGCCGCCGAAAGGTACTTTTTCGCTACATTAGCACTATCCCAACGACTATAGCTCCTTGCAGGAGCGATTACATAAGTAAGGAGGAGCAGATTCAAAATCCTCGTGCTTTCTCTCTGCAAAAAGTGTAAAATTGTTTAGCGGGTCTCAACTTTAAAGGTTACATGCTTGTGAATTTGACGCTGAAGGCTGCGTTTCTTGTTGAATAGTGTACTCCTCTCTGTAATTTACATGAACCCTTTCAGAATCCTCTTGATTTTTCCTGAATTGAGATTCTTTCTCCACTGAGAGCCGTAGCTGAAGCGCGCGCAACCCCAACTGGGCCCACTCTGGGATGCGCCGTGTGCTTCACATCTCGTTGGATTTGAGGACCTACTTGAAAGATAAAATATCCCTAGAAAACGTGCGAATTTCGGATCCTTTGACTTGTGTGGTGATGAAACACTAAAGTCACTAAGAATTGCTAAGCGGACACCTCTAAATCACGAAGATTTTGTGTGGACGGAATCAATTGTTATTGGAAATACTCTGGCCTGGTATCGATTCGATCCTTAATGTTTGTCCTCCGACGATGATCCTACTGTATCAATCGGGCCCGATCTCTCCCCAGCGGGCCAATACGACCCCCCCCTCTGTGACATGTCGAGGATTCCTCAACGCACGCTTGACCCTGGTAGGACTTGGTTCCTTCTCATTTGGTGTCGAATTATTCGGCTCTTGCATGGCTATCCATCTGTGGGTCCTTTCCCTTTATGAGCCCCTTCCTATGAACTGTTGTGGAACTTCGAAAAACTTATTAACTCCATTCAACACTTTTTCATCCCGAACTTACTGACGAGCGCGGAGGGAGGATAACAATCCCATTTGGCTCCCGTCTGAGGGCACGTGGGAAACGGAAGTCGAACTACTCCTCAATTTTGCCCCCAATTTTTTAAGTTCTATCTTTTACTCAACTCTTTTACTCTATATTTTTGCTTGTTTGAATCGCTCACACCGACGGAATAAGTTGATTGAAAGGGCACGCACAAACACAGTCATACATGGCCATCCACGGAAGCTATTGTTTCTGATCAATAGACGACGTTGCCAGCTAGTCGTTACTGTTGAAGCATCGGAAGTTTTAGGAAGAAATAATCTGTACTACCGTCTTACCCAAAAAGTAAAGAAATAGCGCAGTGGCCAGTCAAACCTTCCATCCTTTTGAAACTGTGGGAGTATCCAAGAGTGCAAGAAGATAGAGTTGTGAAGTGATAAAGATTCGCGTAAGTTCGTGTGTTGGTCAGGCATGCACCCACCTTTCCATGATTCCAAACAAAACCCGAATGCATGGCCCATCCCGAAAGATTCATCATCACTCATTTGCTGAATTATTATTATTCTTGGCATTCAAAGTAATTGTCAAAATGTTGTTTATGGATTCACTGAAGAATACTTGGTATAATTCATTTCACTTTCTCTTGGAGCGTCTCGAAAGTTAAAAGCTCCCATCCTTGATGTTCTTCAAACAGGAAGGCCTCGCTGAAGGGATCGTATTTATCCAGTTTCTAAGCCGGCGCTAATGTCGTTGGGGGGGGGGGGGGAAGTATATTCAAGTGAGTAAGACACTCGCAGCACTTGGATTAGCCTCACGAAGGAAAAGGTATTTTGTAGGAGAGGTATGAGCAATCCTCGTTCTCCCTGGCGTTTCTCAACCCTCCTGGGCTTGGTCCTAATGTCACTTATCAAAGGTTTCTAAATGCCATTTTGAATGTCCTCTACCAAATCCCATCACCGGCTGTAATCTTTTTATTGACCTTTTTTCGCGTAGGAGACTTCTTCTTTTTTTAATTGCATTGTATTTTTTACATGTATGCATTTTTTACATGTATACTAGTGTTGCTGGGATCTTTAGAGACTGCAGATACTTGTCTTATGTAAATGGCCAAGTTTTTATAGGTCCAGCGCCAGATTGCGGCGCTCTTTTGACAGCACCTGTAGCTCGTTATCGTATCACACTGGTGTTTTATTGGTCATTTCGTGGCAAGCGACGTGTGGCAGCCGATGACAAGCCGCGTCGATGTGCCAACACTGAATGAATGTTAGAAAGAATACATCATCGCAAAGGATTCCATGGTTACAGTGAACTCAGTTATGGTCCCCAGAACTTTATTCGGCTCTTCTTCTCTATTTTTGAAATTGCACCGCTCAGTCTTCTTCTTCTTTCTTCTCTGGCGTGACCCATAACCGACACAAACCCCTGCGATGGCACAGAGAAAGGCAAAAAAGTGGCGTGCTTGCCAAATGAATCTGCGTTCTCTTATAATAACTTGAGGAGGTAGGCTCCGGCTCAGGGTCAACCCTATCGTTGTTACTTTTTGAAAAATTTTTACGACCCCCCTCCCCCAAGGTGGATTTGATACGACCCCCTTTTCCACACCTCGACCACCATCATCGTCTCTATAGTATTTAATTCTGATACCACTCAACCCACCAAACTCCGCCCACTTTTTCCTCCAAAAATGCCGTCGAGCGAGGGGGGGGGGAGGGGTATATACGCGCGCTGAAAGGGCAAATTTTTTCCCTGCGCCCCTCAACTCACCCAGCCTACCTACCCATAAAACTTCAGTTTCACCTCAAACTCACATGTGATTTCAAGCGACTGAAACGGGTACGACCCCCCCTCCTACAAACTCAACCAAGTACGACCCCCCGTTGTTACTAGTAACAACGTAGGGTTGACCCTGCTCCGGCTCTCTCCAAAACTCACAATCAGCGTGGCCCACGCGCGATCATGGTAAAGACGACATATCTGAGGAGGCGACTAGAACTGATTTCTCATAATCACTATAATGCAACCCCCGTGTTTGTCCATGCTTAAAGCGAGAAATTACGATAAAATTTCTGTGCAGCATGGAAGAACGAGCAGCACTTCAAGCAGTAGCTAGAGCCCAAAGGAATCGAGATGTGGCCTTTTTGTGACTAAAGGTGCGCTCGTTGCAGCGCCCTGGGGCTGCCAATCCTTTCTGAGCTCCGCCTCCGCCTGTGCTCCGCCCCTCAGCAGATCGCTGTTCGATTATCATTCTGATAAGGTATGCCACTTCGAGCGCGTATCCAATTTTTTTCTCATGGAATGCTATATCAATCAAGGTATGATCTCTGGTGGTATGATGGCAGCTATGGTTTAACGAGTGCCGACGACCTCTTAGTTGGTTGCCAACTCGTCCATTATCGGAGGTCAACGGGCAGAGGAAGTGGTCCCATTTTGCGCGTTTTTGACGGATTTCTTTGCTTTTTTCGCTACTAGGGCATTATTCAGCATCTTCACTTCCACTATGAGCACAACAGAATCCTATCGCAATCTCTCGCTTTAAGAACGTAACATGCCCTGAAAGTAATGAAACCAGATGAGGAGATTTCTCCGCCGAATGGCATTCGTCCAAAGAAGAACAATTCGATTTTCAGATAGTTTACGTGTGACCCCCGCCTATGGGCAGTGACGTGCTCTTATACTCTTGGCCTTTCCTGATGAGGTTTGAATGCTGGAATGAATCTAAGCAGCTAACACGGTAGCGGAAAGGTGTCAATCTATCCCAGATGGGGGGTTGGGAAGAACAGGATCCGATCTTTCTGGTCATGCAAGCACAAGCCTTTACTCCTATGTAGTCGCGGCGGCTATCTCTTAAGGCCACGTAGCGGGAAATTAGATTTTGCAGTTCCTGCCAATTATCAACAAGGTTAGGCACTGTAGCACTTTCTTTAAGGGACCCTTCACTTCGTGTGAGTACTTCAGCGGAATACAATATTCATTTCCCCAGTGTGGAGCTTTGTATGTAAAAATAAGTGTGAAAGAAGGCTTCACTGTGCCACATGGGACTCTCCACGGTGCCAGGATTTGGTGCTAACTAGTTGGGGGCAGGGCTGAATAATCGCTTTGAGGATTCCATAACGGCCCCAACGTCGAGGATTGTCCTGCCCCGATCAGAGACGATCTCTCGCGCGGACATTCACACTCGCCATGCCGTGCCGTCTGTGCTCTCCGCGCGGATGTTCACTCTCGGCACTACTCTCGCATGGTAGAGAGCTATGGTCGAGGATTTCCTCGACCGTTATTCACCCTGTTGGGGGGGGGCACGCGGCGGCGCGGCAGTCTGCTCGCCTGGCATGTTCGGAAATCCGTGGGCCAGGGGGAGTGTAGCCAGCTAGGGGGTGGGGGGTGGGGGCAGTCACTTGACATGCGTGAAAAGCTGGAATGTTCGAGTTTACACTGTCTCGCTCGAGAGAGCCCAGGTGAGCAGACTGCCGCGCCGCCGCGTGCCCCCCCCCCCAACTAAGTTAGCACCCAATTAGTTTCAGATTCTGAATTTAATTTTCTTCGCACCCACATCTCCACCAGCACAAAGATAGAGATATGCCTTCAAAAGGCGATGTCCTTGCACAGCCTCACTGAAGTAGTCGCTTCCGTCGATAGAGGTGTGTGTGGTCCGCCACTGCACGGAGCTCCTACCCGCTTCATACGTTCCAAGCACGTCCACCAAGGCGTTAGAACGATTGAGGACTTCTATCAGATCCCGCTGAACTATCAGGATCCGCCCACCGTTCGATATACTATTGTCTGCGGCGCATCGTTGATCAGCTACGCTTTCTCTACTCTAATTTCTTTGACCCTCTCCGCGACTCACATTATCTCCAAATATCCTGCCTGTCTCATATTAGACCTCTACGCGGCGTAGAGCAAAAGTACTCGCATTTTCTGTGTTTTTGATGATTTTTTCTCCTTTTTCTCCACTTGCAGTCCACTCGCGCATCCCTGCTTTCATACTTGTGATAAACTTGGGATTATCCATCAGTTCAATTCTGACCCTTTGCGCTTTAAAGCAACAGTTCAGGGAGGGTCCGAAAATTTCAATGCCACTACTACTGAGGGATACACGAGCCCTAGTGAAGAACATATGCAGTGGAAATAATAAACGAACTTACCTCAGAAACTCAAAAACAGGGTGGAAAGTCCCTCAAACATGGGTGTTCTTGGGGATTTCCCCAATCCCGCCCCCTTGCCGGCCGTCATTGGACGCGTCGGCAATCGTGCTCGTTTTGGGACCACAGGGAAAATTGATTGAAAAATGGAGCGCGTTTACAGCGGGCACGTTCAGACAACTCGTCCAACGTGCGTCTTTATCCATTGCTGAGCGGCAGAGGGAGAGTACCTGTCTAAGACCCTCCCCGACGTTTTTTTCCAGTTTTTCATACATTAATCGTCTGGTTTTCATCTACAACTTCATTATTGGTGGTTTTTTCCCGCGAAACCGTTCCTGAACTGTTGCTTTAAGCTTAAGGAATTCTAAGTGCGCTCGGTATCTTTCATGTGCACAGCGCTACAAAAACACTGTGCTTACAATTACACGTTCCTCGACTTGTTCTCCCTCTCATCGACATTCCATGTTGCACAGGCCGTTAAAAATAGACCTTAATCTCTTGTTCCTCACGCTAGCCTCTATGACATGCGGAGTACTGAAAAGTGAACCATGTAAAACGTGAAAAAGCGCGCTTCACCTTGAAAGATCTCCCCTGCGATCGCTTCCAAAACGTGCCTCCCCTCGATTTATTGAGTGCTTTCAGCACCACTTTCCTCGAACATAAAATGACGGGTGAGGTTAGATTCCCAGCGGCGGGGGTGCCGCCATCTTTGATCGGGGATAGTATGTTTTCTTATGCCAACTCGTTATCGGTCTGTTTCTTTAGCGCGCTTATAATCGCCGATTAGCGGCCGGATAATGACATCGCTGAGTACTCAATAGAATTATGGGAAGCCAACCCACGGGTTTGTAACAAACATTAAATCCAGGGGTTTTTGCAAATTCAAGGAAGTCAAAACGTATGTAACTCAGGGCTTTATGAGGGACTTAACATACACCTTGCATCCGACAACCAGGCGCGTGCAGTTGAAACAACACAAGTGACGATGGCCTTTCAAACAAGTCTAAAAATTCCCTCATCGTTGTGCACATCTTATGGAGGCAGTCGTCTGTTGGGCTGTTTGGTCTGCAATGCGGACGCACCTGCCTGCCGGATTTTGAGAACACTTGATTCGCTTGCCGGCTGAGGTCATAGTTTCAATTTAGTAAGTCCGTAATCGAATTCTCTTGCAACTTTGAGTAAAAGTCGAGTGCATGGCTTATCACCAAGGCTTCCTTGAAGGCACATACCACAACGCATAATGTAAGCTGTTGCGGGCGGAAATGAACGCATTGTGGTTATTTATAGTCTATTAAACCAATAAGGCTTATGTGGTAGCTGGGCTTGCGCAAATAAATTGGTAAACTTTCGTTTGAAACACGGTAAAATAAATCAAAGGGACCGACAAACCAACGAGAGCCCTATGGGACGAGGTGCAAACCCCGCCCATACAATCAGCGAGCGGTGTCATTCAAACGGTTCTTAGCAATTTTCTCGCTTTCTTTCATAACCTTTTGACCAAACACTATAACTTCTTTTACTCAATAACGCACGCTGATTCAGTTGCGGAATGTGCCCTCGATACCGCTTACTTTCTTCATCCTTGGTTCTTTACCACCTCACTCTGGGTCTATGTGAGGGGGAAGCATGAAGCGCTCTTCGACCCCGGTAGGATGGAGTGGTTGCTTGTGCTTTTGAAAACCTCGATTTGAGTTCTGGTCTTAGTACCAGGCGGAATCGTTGATCTCTGCCATTCTAGTATGCGCCATGCATAACGCTTCTGTTCGAAATCACAATGACTGAATGGATTCTCATTCTACCCACCGACTCGTTTGGCCGGTGTGCAAGCCAATGTTTTCGTTCCTGATGATTTTCTGGCCACCGCTTGACTAACTCCAAATGCGTGGAACGTTTGCCGTGCTGGGCGGTTCTTTATTCAAGATCTGATTTTTATAGGCAGCATTGTCTGTCTCAAACACTCCTTTTGTTCAAGCGTACAATTTTTTCTAGCTTTTCAAAATGAGAATTCGGAGCAAGGCTCTGAAATCATTGGAATAAATATTTGAATAAATAACCAAGCAAATACAAATAAATAAACAAATATGAATAAATAAACAAATAGGCAAATAAATAAGTGAGATTAGCTATCAAGCCGAGGGCAAGCCTTTAACCGTCTTGACCTCTAAAGTGTATGCGGTTATGTTGAAACCAGAAATCATGCGCTTGGATGATGAAGTGAGGTGAGGAGAGGTGAAACCTTTTATTTTATATATTTTTTATACATATTTTTATACATTTTATTTTTACACATTTTTATACATTTATATATGAAACTATTTTCAAACACTGTTCGATAAGACGAGTATTAGTATTTTTTTCGAGTATTTTTCCCCTTCGTATTAATTGCTGAATTGACTCTAGTGAGGTTGTTGAAGATGGAAGGCCAGCGCCAAAGCGTCAAGGCCCCAGAAAAGGATGTTATCTACCCATGGGCTCAGGGGAGGGGTTGTGCTTCCTCAAGTTTCATCGCGGAGTATCGCTGTCTTAGGTGGCGAAAGTGAATGTAGTAGTTATCGGTTTTGACGAGATCGATCTTCAGTGGCGAAAAGGTGAAATGTAGTAGTTATCGGTTTTGACGAGATCGATCTTCAGTGGCCATGGCTCATGCTCCCGGGCCAGACACAACTTGTAGTGAGAAGAGGACAATTTAGGCTCACAAATCTCAATGGATCAGTTGCCAGTTTTTCTTACTCAAAGGTATTTAGTCATGGAAAGACAGACTCAACACGTTCCGTTCCCGTGTCCACTTTACAACCGATTTACGTTGCTGAACCCTTGGAGGTACGTCAATCTATAAATATAACACTTATACATAAATAGAATAAAATGCTAATTTATAAATAGAGTCGGACTTTTCATATGAATAGTCAACAAAATTATGCCAACAAATTGATTGTTTTATTACATTGGGGCTGATCATCATCAGAAATGTACAATATCGCTCCTAATTTTTGTAAATTCAACGCGCGAAACTACGAATATGGGTAGATAGATAACAAATTCCATGAAATATCTATCGATCGATTCCCGTCTTGGCAATCTTGACCTCTCCTCATTGCCATTATATTGCCAATCGCGGACAGGCAGCTCTACCAGGTTGCAGGGTACCGTCACAGGATCGTTCGACCACTTGCACGGCCGTCGGCATGAGGAAAGTTTCCGGAGGCGGAGGGTTCTTGTAATTTGGATGGACAGAGGCAGTGAATTCTCCGAGCAGTTTGGTCGCACAGCGTCGAATTTTCGGAAATTAGAAGCGATATTGTAGCTAGCCAATTTTCTCGTTGAGTGTATTCTTAATTTATCCTTCCAGGTTAACGAAGGAGGTTCGATGCCGCTGCAATGGAAAATATCTACATACTACCTGAGCATTCACGTTTCAACGTCACCAACAAGCAAATCACGTTTTCGGTTGGTCTGCAGTCTATTTTTTGGCAGTGTATGTCAAAGCGATGTATTGGACTCGTTACTGCTGGTTAAAATCTTAGAAAAACGGAAAAGGCGTGTCAAGGGCATATATTGCAGAGTAGCGAAACTTAGTTAAGTTGCAAAGTAAGTTGAGTAGATGAGAACCTTGGAGCCATTGCAGCCAAATGTGGGCTGCCATGCGTGCACCGGTTCGTAGGGCGTTACAACCGGCGTCTTGGAGAATAGTATCAAGATTTTGCTTTCGTTTTTTATTCCATAGCATCGATAGGTTCTTCTGCATTTAATACAGGTGGGCTAGCCTTCAATTTTCTGGTCAGATTCTCGGAAAATTTCTTTGAAGTCCCACGCGGCGCCGCAAAACGTTAAAGATCATGCGGCGGCCGGCAATGGTAGAAATATGGAGGGGGGTTTGCGAGGCCAATTACATTAAGGAGCCGACGATAGTGCGATCAAAGAGTTCGTAATTGGCTAGTGGCTGATCACGTTGGCAGGCACTGCTGAAAGATGACTATTTTAACTGCACCAAAAACTAAGTGAAAAGTAACTTATCAGAAAATTAGAACATTTAGTCGTGCTAGCACACCAATGAGAACGCCTTGCCGACGCGTGCCTCCCTACCCCCCCCCCCCACCTAACTATCTATGTCAGCAGCCCATTCAGCTTGAATATACGAGCAAGATCAGATGAAGCCTTACTGTCTAACCGTTATTTTATTTGAGCAGTAAGCTTGCTGAGAGGTTATTTTATTTATTTATTTATATATTATGCACTCGTAGATGCGCTACAATTCAATCAAATCAGAAACCAAATCTGCTATGAATCAGAAAATTGATTTAAAATTTAAGTCAAGCGATATTACCAAAAGCTTATGATAAGTAAATCTAGGGAACCTGCACGGGTTGATGGGTCAATTTCAGATCGTAGAAGGACCTCATCATGGAACTCTCGTTTTGGATGGTCAGCCGTGTGCCGCGTTCGACTATAGTCAACTACTCTCGCGAAGTGTCATATACAGACACGACGGAAGCGAGACCACACAGGATCAGCTGGAATTTCAGGTAGCAACCCCTTGTTTTGACCCTCTGTAATTGTTGGCGTAACATTTTCAATTTATAATATTTACTATTAACCCATTGCGGAAAACAAACGTAAAAGGATAGTAATACTTGATGACTTTTCATCATTGTAACAAGTTACAAACTCAACAGTAAGCTTTCTTGTGAAACATCAACAGTAAGCTTTTTCAGTCACAGAATATATCATGTTTTTGCATAGTAACTGAAGTTTTGAGATTATTGGTTACTAATAAAAGAGGTGACAAAAGCCTTTGGAGGTGCGCACGTAACGGTGGTCCGCAAGGGTTAAATATCGTTTGTTGGACAAGGTATGTAGTGATAAATCTGGGGCTGTTTAGATTGTTTAGCCATAAACCCATCACACAACACGACAAGGCCATAATGCCGGCGCCTGGTGAATAATGGGTTTTTCGTGGCCATACTACAGTTGTCGGGCGGAAGGACGTATTGGCTGAGGAATCCCTTGATTTATTACCCATTCATGTCGACCACCCTTTCTATTATAAGCGATTACAGTCGTTATTGTTTATGTGTTTGGTTTTTCACAGCGATATTTGAGGCACTCTGCACGGTTCATTTGGCGCGGTCGCTTGCTGAAAAATGAAAGACTAAAAGTGGACCGATAGTGAAGAAAATGGAAGGAAACCACCGGGACCGCTGAAAATAAAGACCGTGGGAACGTACAAGCGACAAATAGCGCTATAAGACAGCTGAACGAAGAGGAGTGAGAAAAGAATCAGGGAAGAGAGTGCGTAGTTATGAAGGAGAGAAGTCGCAGTCTATAACTAGGTGGGATCCGGTGTACTAGGTGGAGTTCCATGAGCATCCCTAAGCCTCAGCGCCTCTGCCTTGCAACTTCATTCGACGAAGGGGTACACATTGCATGCTTGTGAAGCACTCAACCTTTGTTGAGCTGAGCTTTTTTCACCGTTTCGCCAAATCGTGGAGTGTGCCTTAAGTTCACATGATCAGA